GTACGGTAATACGGTATGTTGTTTAGCGGTCAATAACTCCATTCGAAGGGGTTTTACGAAAGAAACGCCAGAACCCTTTCTTAATCTCTTGATGAGAACTTCACGAAACCACAATTGTTTTTGGGATCCAACAATTAGAATAGCCACTTTGACGTCATAACCGAACGCGTCCGGTATTTTTCTTCAAAATTTGAACTCCTCGTATCTCGAGAACGACGCATCTTAGAGGATTTTGGTACGTGAGGTTTCTGTTTAAGTTAGTCGCCACTTAGTTGTTAGATTCTGTAGACTAAGGAGGAAAATGCTGGACTAACACTATGGGATCCCTCGTAGATTTTGCCATTACTCAATCTATTACTCAATCTATAACTCACCTCTGGCCATTGCATCCTCCGCTTCCGCCAATAGGATTAATCCATTTTCTCTTTATCTCCTTCGTTAATCACGGAAAAAAGAGGTAGGGAGGGGTTATCCCCTGAAATTGTGGTACTATCCCAATTCGTCGGGTGACACAGTCATTTCCAAGTAATTGTGGTAATAGTGGTAGTACCGCAACTCAAGCTGGGGTAGTACCGCAGTAAAGTAGTAAATTGTTTCTTCATTACCGATTCTTGCTATCATGAAAGGAGAAACCACGAAACATTGTATCATAGCGCATGACCGTCAATCAAATATTTGAAAAAGCGATATCTTCATTAATAATAATCTTTATTAAAATTTTTCAGTGACAACAAACCATTAAAAGTACATAGAAAAGACTGCGGTAACCCCTAGAAAAACCCCTCATGCTCAAGGAATTGCAGATCTTACCGCTTAATTACGATCACCTTATCCTTTCATGATTTAACAATTGAAATGTTAAAGAGTATGTCCGACATCTGTCAAATGTAGATTTTACAATTGTGGAAAGCTAATTTAACCGCGAGGGTGGTTGAATAAGCATTTTTTATTGTAAAATCTACATCGAAACACGTCTGACTCTTTTTTAAACTACAAAATTGTTAAATCAGCAGTTTCATTTTTTCGTGTAAATTATTACCATAACTTTAATAAATAAATACTATAACATTAATAAATAAATCCTATAACACTAATAAATAAATACCATAACAATAATAATTGAATACTATAAAATACAAAACAGGAATTTTAATCGAGTTTTAGGACATTGACCTGACGAGTGTTTTCCTACCTCCTCTCTATATTCCCATCAGGCAGACCTCACATAATTTACCAAATTCTTCAAATCGTCGCTTAAAAATAGATTCAGAAAGTTTTCTCATTCAATTGCCGTTTTATACCCTCAAACCAACACTGGCTGAGCTCAGATAGAATCAGACATTGAGCCAAAAAATGAAGTACGTCCTCTTCATTGTGAAGATTGCACATATCGCAGAAGTCACTTTAAAGTCGCACTAATTCGGCCCAATCAATTCCCCTCTTCCACTTATCATCCGACTTTTTCCTATTATAGTGAGCTCCCCACTATAAATGTAAGTACTTGTTACGAAAATTTTTCTCGAGAGAATACTTAGTTTTAATACCCGGGTGAGTCCGCATTCCGTCCCAAAGACTCGGAATTGCGTCCGGCGGGACTCTCCGAACCGGCGTCCCAGATCGCGTCCATTTAATTCTTAAGAAAAAGGTGTAAATGAACAAGTTGCTCACATTTTTCTCATGTTGATACCAATGTCCGAAAAGTAGAATAAAATAAATTGGAATAGAGCGGTGAATGGTAGGGTTCGGTCGACATAAAGTTTCCACATTCCGGAAACCGTTTGGCGAAGGAAAATCAAGAGAGGCTCGTCATAAACTTTAAAGCAAATAATCCAGGGTGTAAAGGGCCCTTTCGTCACGGTACCGTTTACTCTTTGAAACAAATGATCCAGGGTGTGAAGGGCCCTTCCGCCGCGGTAGTTTCACTAGCTAAATTACTTTTTCACGGGCAAAAAATGTCTGCCGCTGCTTTTCTTTACAGAGTTGCTGACTTTTTGTCTCGTCAAAACGTTATCGTCAAGTTTTTTGTGATTGTGTTTCGCATTAGATTCAATAATTTCGCCATCGATACTAACATTCAGAAAACACCGGCAATTTTTCACTGAATAGATCGTATTCGATACATCAAACGGCTGAGATTGTATCGATATCGATTGGTTCAAAACATAAACATAGCCTCAAAAGTAAATTCAGAAATCTGAGAGAACGGGTCTTTTGTAACAGATTTTTCATTCTTTTGAATACCAAATGCCAATTCAAAGTGAAATCGTCAGGAAATTTCTCATTTTCAGCTTTTCCAACTGAAATCCTTACAGTTTGGTGTGAGGTTATGTTCTATTGTTTTGAACCGAACGATACATCGAACCGTTATCGAATACGGTCTATATGCTCGATCATCATCGATTAACATCGCCTTTCATACGCAGTGTTGCCGCTTTCCCAATATGCGCCGGACGCAATTCGGATAGAGCTCGGGACGCAATTCGGAATGGCCAGGAACGCCATTCGGATACAGCCTTAATACCCTACTGGCAACATTGTCAGAAATTACAATCATTATACTGCCGTGCTAAGAAGAACGCGGTTTCAACCTTTAGACGTTGCCAAGTTTCCTTAGAAAAAAATAAGCATGTAGGTCGTCAAAATTACATGTTTTATTAAGGGAAATTCGGCAGCTCTCGGTAGTTTATACGGCGTCGTTCCTTAGCACGGCAGTATAGGGACACAAACTCAGTTCCGAAGTACCTCCGATCGAGCCTGTGCTTACCACCTCAAGCTGCATACGCCACGCGCAATTCCACCACACTCACATACTGCCGTGCTAAGGAAGAACGTCGTATGAACCTTCAGGCGTTGCCAAATTTACTTTGATACACAGGAATTTCCTGGTAGATTTATGAATAATTTCCTTCAAATTTTTCAGATTACTTTGTTCGCAATTTCACCTAAAGTCTCTGAAAATCTAAAAGAAAAATAGTAATGTCTTTCCTCAAAAATTAACATTTTTTGAAGGAAATTTGGCAACTCTTGAATGTTCATACGGCGTTCTTCCTTAGCACGGCGGCATAGTGGCGACTCTAGTAAGTTGGCAATTCTGCTTTTTCTCCATTTAGATACATGTTAAACAATCGATTTGAGGGAAGGCAGACTGCCTCACCTAGAATCGATATATTCGATAGCCTTTGTCAGGGTCACACTATCAAAACACTCCATCAAAACGTCAAGGGCAAGTGCTGTGATTGGGCCGAGTCACCGAATTAGCCAATCATAACGCCTGACCTTGATATTTTGATGGCTAGCTTCGATAGTGTGACACAGGCAAATGCATTTAAACGGAGGGAAAACAGCGTTGCAAACTTGCTGGAATCGTATCAACACTCCCACCCCGACAGGAGTTTGAGTGCCAAGGATGAAGACTGGGTTGACCCAAAGGTTCTGATACATTTTCCATGAATGTTTCTCTCATTCGACCGGGTTTTGGGCCTAAGTATTTAATCTTACTGGACCACAAAATTGTATAATGAGGACGAAAAGTAAATGGAGCTTTCCTACTGGTTGGAACGAGTGGCAGGACCTCCGTTCTACGCGACAATGGAGGTGTTGCATGTGTGAGGAATTAGCGATTTGACTGTTGATTCTGATGTAAAAGTTCGCGAGAAACACGATGGTGCCTCTGGTTTTCTCTGAAATCAACTCCCAAGCTCAAAAAAGCTCTCAAGTTGAGGCCAAAATGGAGAGGATATCCCACGCTATCCCGAGAGTCCACTTCTACATCAAGACAAACTCTCCATGCAAAGATAGCGAGCAAATACATTGACAGGGCTGCCACTTTATTTGGGGACTTAAAAATTGAAACCACACTGCTAATGTACTTTCTCCCTATCTTTGCATGGAGAGTTCGTTTTGATGTAGAAGTGGACTCTCAGGATAGCGTGGGATATATCCCCTCCATTTTGACCTCAACTTGAGAGCTTTTCTTGAGCTCGGGAGTTGATTTCAGAAAAAACTAGAGTCCCTTTATACCCAGAGTTACGAGAACTCACTTTTGGTTGGGCTGAAAGTGGCCTAAAAAAAAATCCAATTCCGATTGGTTCTCGCTCATGGAGTCACAAACGAGTGCACCAAGATGGCGGTGGCTCGATGTGAACAAAAATAATGATCATATTACCTAATTGTGGTTTATCAAGAGTAAATTGTTATTTCCATCGGTCCTAAATGAAAATTGATTAAGAAATTATTCACAAACCAATCTCATTTTCTTTTTAATTGATCAACTTTGTTGAAGTTGTTTTTGGATGACAGACATCGCATGATTCCTTATCCTTATCCCTCAATATCGTTCGTTTGGGTGCACTCGTTTGTGCCTCCATGGCCAGCCAAGGCCGGCTGCCAGTCAGCTGATAATCGAGTTGTCTTAACTCTGCGTATAAAGGGACTCTAGAAAAAACCAGTGGCACAATCGTGTTTCTCGCGAACTTTTTACATAAGACTCATCACTTCATCAGTCAAATCGCGAATTCCTCACACTTGCAACATCTCCATTATGGACCAACTATAGGGTCGTCTTTCGTGGGCTACCTTCGTTAATCTATTACTTCTCTCTTTTGGCCACTGCTTCGATCGCTACATTTTCCCCTCGTCTGTCAGTTTGTCTATCAGATTTAATAATCAGCCCACCGCCTGTTTAAAACATTTGTGAATTTACTGATGTAAAACATTTTAGGTGGTAGCACTTCGTTGACCCTCGATACTTAGTAGAATTGATCTCGGATCTCAGATTCTAGGGGACACTAGTATATTATATATAGTATATTTAAAATTTTTGGTAATTGGTTATTAGAAAAAAGAAAACACTAATGAAAATTTGCATAATCATACCTCAGAGAAAAGATTCAATTTTTAAAAACCCAAAAGAATTGTTGGTACGAATTTGTAACATAGAAGGTTAAAATATGTTTGATAAAGGTACAGCTAGAGTCCCTTTATAGGGGTCCCCTTTAAAGTCTATATATGTATATATATTATTCTGTCACTATTTTCTCAATGCAAGCAATTAAGTCTAGTTCATACCAGTTTAGATTGAGGTCTTTGTTTTGAACCTGTGCTCTGCACTTTTCATTTTGGCACCTGGCGTGAACATGATGCACACAGTTACCGATCTCTGCTTCTACGAACCATTCTTTCAGATAATTGAATGCCTGTATGCATTTTTTGTTTGCTTCTTCTACTTTTTGCTCGTATCTTGGATCATCCTCATGAGGGCACATAATTTGCATATGGGCCATTTTTAATAACCTTCCCTTTAACTCCTTGTTGTGCGCCATCCGTTTTGCATAAAAATCGGGGTCTGATGCCGCTGACGATGATCCAGGTCTTCCAACGTTCCTCGGGGGACTTGCCGGGCGACTACCCGGGGGACTTGCCGGGCGACTACCCGAGGGACTTGTAGCCTGTTTGAGTAAACGACGAACAATAAATCATTGGATATAAGGAACTATTATTTCCGGCTCATTCCCAGAGCGGAATTTATTTTAAAGCGGTGCTCTCGAAGCTGAGATACCGTCTTTGCTTTTGCACGATTGAATTTGGTCAATTAAAAAGGAAACGTGTTCAATTTAACGAGACGAGTCTCCTAAAATGGTTATACAATGGCAAATAAATTTCTTGCGATGTTATTTTGACTTTTGTTGGGGTGTTGGGCCGAAACGGGTGGGAGTCAAAATCCCCAAAAATGGAGTAGCATCTATACATACATAATGTCGCTTTTATAGCGCCGCCTCGCGCTCTGCGACGCCCAATCGCCATTGCCCCCTATCCTCCCAGAGATCATCAGGCAATTGGCACCTTCTGATCTCCTCCTCCACCCCTTGTCGCCAACCTTTCACAGGACGTCCACGCCGTCGCCTTCTGGGAGGAACCCAATCGAAGACCTGCTTGGGGAACCGATCATCTGCCATCCTTCGCACATGTCCATACCAGACCAACTGCTTGGACCTGATATCGTGCACGATGTCCTTCTTCACACCCATTATCTCACGTACCGTTTCATTGCGGATACGCTCTCTTCTCGATATCCCAGCAGACCTTCGCCAAAAGTCCATCTCGGTTGCCCTATACATCTACAGGGCAACCGAGATGGAGTAGCATCTATACATAAGATTAACAAGATAAATGATAAGACCGTGATGCTCTTCTTAATTTTATTACCTACATATAGTACATGCCGGAGCCACAGCTTTTCGAGCGTCTAGCGCTCATCATCAGGGCACTTGTACTAGGAACCCTCAAAAAAGTCAAACTTTGAAAAAGTCTTGCTCCATCTCGCTTTTCCCATTCCTTTTGGACCTAATAATAAGAATCTGAAGTCTGGAGGCTGTAGCTGAAGTAAAGGGTTCGGTACTTTTGCCTTCTTTTTTCAAAAATTGAGCAAAAAAACTCGATTTTAGGTGATTTTTCAAAAAAAATTTGGGGGGCGGGAGGGGCTCTTGAAGGTCAAATGGGGCTAAAATCACTAAATTAGATAGTCCTGTAATGAATTATAAATAAATTTCGTCACATAGTGACATTATAGGTTCAACAACGTTTGAAGAACATAACTAAAAATTATCCGATTTTTCCTCCTTGCGAAGTTCCTCAGAATGTTAAGCAAGCTTACGTATACATGCACACAAACATACAGGGTTATCCAGAAGTCTGGGACCCCCCCTTATAACTTTTGAACAAAAAATGCTAGAGATTTGAAATTTGGGGAATGTTCCTAGGTCAAAGGGAACTACTTTTTGGCGTACCCAAAATTTTGGGGGGCGCCCCCCCTGAGGGGGGGCGGACCCTAACTTTTTTTTTTTCAAATGGGAACCCCTATCTTGTGATACATCATTCGAAAGGGCTTAAAAAAAGAAAACTTTTGGCGCAAACCGATTGTCGATACCTCAATTTTTAACAAAATGGCGGCCAAAAAATGGCGGCTCATTCAAAAGTCTGGGCCTCCGCTCATAACTCATGAACAAAAAATGCTAGGGATTCGAAATTTGGGGAATATTCCTAGGT